ACAGGTACTCAAAACCCATAGAGTTTATGTGTGAACAAGCCTGAAGTGTTAGCATTTGAACGTTTCTGATATCAAAGGCATAAAATACCTTTCAGGCTGGCAGAAACATATAACAGTTCTAAAATACTGACCTGTTCTGAAAGGCAGTACATCATTATTGCATCGTTTTTCTGTGCAGAAACTTTGCAAGCTCACATTTACCATGTCACATTTAATGTTTTGAAACAGTGGAATAAGGATAGATTAGGAAGGGAAAAGCATATTTTCATCCTACAGGGGACTTATAAGACAGAAGTGACAATTCATCCAGCACCTGATGCTACCTTGAAATTACAGCAATGGACCTCCTCAACATTTTTCAGAGTTTACTGTATTGTATCAGGTAAAATTTATGATAAAATAAGTAACAGCAGCCATTATTGATCATCTGAAAGATAATGTGTCACCTAAAGCCTTGGTCACGTTACAATATCTGGTTGCACAGCCCACATCTTTTGTTCTGACTAAAAATACCCAGATGCATACCATCACATGCTCTACAATATACAGACTAAACAATTTTTAAGCTGAGACAGGAAAAAAACCTAATCTTTTTTTTTTTTTTTTTTTTTGGTATTCCTTCCTAAACAATCTTAACACTGATTTCATTACTTCATAAAGAACATCTTAAAGTTAACACCAAAATTTTCTGTTGAAAGGTATCATTCTCCGTGTTTGATCTAGCTGCATTTGTCCCCATAGTTCATATGGGGTATAAGAATTTCTAAGTAAAACATGCAGAGGTAGTGTGAATTTCCTTTCGATAATCTGTGATTTGTGACATCACTGCATTACTTTTCCATATCTTACTGAGCCAAGGAAAAGAGCTACAAACATTCAAGAGAGTCAAGAAGGCCACGATTAGGTTAAATTGCCCCTAATTTGACTTATCCAAAACTGTATGACTAATTGGATGTTAACAAACTGCTATACATGTTAACAAATTGCTAGGTGAAATAATCTTTAAAATTCATCTATACTGAACACCAAGAGCAGCCTTAGGTTCAGGAGAAATACTTGATACCAATTTTCTTAAAATTAAAACTGTAAAAATTATAGAAGATACAATATAGTCCATAATTATCATTATTAGACACACAAAGAGATATTTCTCATAAAAGCTATAGGTAATAGAGGATGTGAACCAGAAGCAATTCAGGACTTGAAAACAGATAAACATGACTTGAAGCGAAGTACCATATCATTTGTGGCTGATTCCCAAAACACTGACAGTACAAGCAAGACTCAACAGATGTGTTCTCAGAATTATTCATTACCTGTCAGAAAAGAAAATGTGACTTAAAAGTATTCTTTGCTTATGCTTCTTTGCTCCTACCCTTCCCCTAAGATAAGGGGTTTGAGATCAGACAAAAAAGTGAATGCTACAAAGGCAGTGTCAAAATAAAATAACCTCTGTGTGGACTTATGGCTTACCTGATAAAGAAACAAATTCTGGAGTTGGTGAAGTGATGCAATAACAGTGCATGACTGCAAAGCAGCTAGATTTTGACTTTCAGTTTGACTTTCTGCAAAGTTATCTTCTACATCAGTGAATAATTAAAAAAAGACAAAAAAGGACTTTATCACGTCTGATCTCTGTAAATCAAAGAAACCAGAACAACACACAGTGGCCAAGCTTCTCAAAAGCAAGTCAAGGAGATCATTAAGTCCCAACTAACTGACAATCACCTCTTTATCATAAAACACAGATCAAAGCAACACAATGTAAATAATAATCAGGTGAAAGTGTTAGCACTTCCAAATGGAGTCTTTTCATCACAGAGAGATGTAGATGCTCAGCAGCAGGTCTAGCCTTGGTCTAAGTTCAGAAGTTGAAAATGGAGATGTAGAAGAAAGCTTTAATGTCCTGATGTGAACACTCCTGTTAATGTTCAGTACCTAAGGATGTGTCTAGGCATTTAGCATACAGCAACAGATTGTGACAAAAAGCTAGTCTTCAAGGAAGAATTCATAAGATTCTCACAGTTCTGCACGTTGTCTGACAATGCCAGAGAGCTGGTCTGCCATTATTCACCTTATTGCCGATTAAATTCTTGTGTTGATTGTACAAACACTGTTTCTCATCGCTTGCACACAAAGGACGGAGACCTGCAACCTGTGTGGACCTCCAACAACCCCTGTACTAGCAGAATCTTCTGATGACCTACTGCAGGATACGCAAGGGTTTAAGATTTAAAGAAAAACATTTAGTACAGGCTGGAAAGCAAAGGTTGCTGACAAACAGTAAAAAGTTTCAAAGTGCAGAAGTCACAAGAAGGAGATTGGCAGACGATACCACCTACTGTTACAAATAGCATCCTTCTTTGCTTTCCAGCCCTGTAGCTGCAGGATAATATACTCTTATCATCGATGCTGTGAGACATTTTTCAGACTGGAATTCTCAAAGGGCTGGAAGGAATTAAAAGGGGAAAGAAAAAGACAGACTTTTCTGCACAAATTATCACTGTACAGATTTGCTGTTAAGAGCAGGTGCTTCTCAGAGCTGCAAAATATTCAGTATTTCACATAAAGATCTGATTCTCTGCTATAAGCGCAGTTTAGAAGCCAACTCACCAAAACCTCTATCAAAAATACAATTTTAACATCTGTTTCGACTTTCACTTATCTCACTGCTCCCAGACAATATTGATTATCATTATCTGCAAGTCTCCATTATTATAAACAGCAACGGCTAAGGGAAACAGAAATGAGCTTTTACATATAAAGACATCTAGGTACTTCCAGGGGAGAATGAAAACTGCCATGTCAACTGAAATTGGAGTCCAACTTCATTTCATCTTTTACAAATACTCTATGAATAGAGTGGATTAAAATACACTCTAAACTAAAAAGTTTATTAAAATTCTAATGAGGAATAAAGGATTTTTTTATGTTAGGTAGCAACTCTGCACTGTTGGAGTATGAAATGAAAGCTTTTGCTTTAGCAAAGTAGTCTCATGCTTTCTCTGGAAAAGGAAAACCTTAGTAAGCTAGAACCCAAAGCAAGAAGTGCGTGTGCTTGAAGCCTGTCTTTCTTCATTCTTCCTGATTATGTAGATGTTTCTATGACTGCTCCCAAAGAGACATCTCCCTTTCTTCCCTCCAGTATTCATATGAATTTCAGGTAAACAACATGTCCTTCAGAGCTCAACATCAGGAAGAGGTAAAGTCTTCTCTTCACCTCATTGTGTCCTCGCGCCTATCAGAAGAGCCAACCAGCCTCTCACTTGCTACCTACCACATGATAATTTCTTACTAAAACAATATATATATATAAACATAAGAATATTTTATATATAAATACATAAAATAGTAAAATAATTTCTATTTTACTATTCACCAAATATAAAAGAAAATAACCCCATGTTCAAAACTCAACCATGACAGAAGATAAAACGAGCTGCTGTGATGTTTCAGTTTCTCCATAGGTTATGGAGCAAGAACAGAGAACTGGTGAACAGGAGAGCCAACCAGTTTTGATGCATCAAAATTCCTACAAATCAACAACCAAACCCAGGAAGTCTTCAATTAGATACACAAAAGAGCCTAAGGAGTCCATATCATCAGAACTGCTTCTAAGCTAAAGGAAGAAGTTAATTTGTTTTAGTATTCGAGGCTCTACAATCATGTTAATGTTCCTATAGCACAATGAACACGAACAGCAGATTCTGACTACTCACAGTGACACATAAACCTGATTTAAGAAATCGTCAGACAGGCCATACAGCTCCTACTGAAGATAAGTTGTAACTGTGGAGAAGTTGTTAATTTTTCATGTTTTCAAGTACTGGAGCAGGTTGTCTTAAGAGTTCATGCAGTCTATCTGGATTTCTTGGCAATTTTAAGAATTGAATGGAAAAAGCCTTGCATATCCTGGTCTGTACACACAGCTAATCCTGCTCTGAGCAGAACACGGGACTGAACGACCTCCTGAGGTCTTTACCAAACTGAAACATCCTAGGCTTGTGTGTTCTGTTATGCAACCCCCCAATTAAATAAGCAAGACAACTCCCTAGGATTTCAGTGTTTCTGAACCTTGTTACCAACTTGCATATCTAAGTGGTTAGCTTCACGATACACATGTATGTTAATTAAGAGCCAAATGGAAAAAAAAAACTGGGACAAAACTGAGGCAAATTCCATTCTTGTTCCTGTACTAGGACAGCCATAAACTGACCTTCAGTGTAATACATACAAAACAGCTTAGCTGCAGTATGGTGCACTATTTAAAAAATGGGTGAGAAAGCTGTGTGCGTTCAGTTTAAAAACTATAAATACGAAAAATATTTGCTCCAGTCAGTCATGAGACTTTCAAAAAATGTCTTGCATTTTTCAGGTTTTTCATCACAAACTAATGCTCATTTTGTTGCTGCCTCACTACAAAGATTGGACAGGTGAAACACTTCTTTTTACTATTTACACTACTGGTTAGCAATAGACTATGCCTATAAACCTGAATATGACTGCTGAATAGAGTGTTTTTGATTCACTGATTTACAGGGAACATCATCTCCATTACCTAGCAGAACAACAGAGCAAAAGTGCAAATTAGCTTCACAGATGATGTTTGCAAAGAAGTACGCCGAGTTCTCAACACTGCACAGCCAAGGGCATCCTGAACTCAATATCTACCATCTATCTAATTATGGCAGCAAATTTCTTATAAAGATGTTTATGTAGGTATATATGCAGGTATAAAGGCTACAGAACATTCTGCAGAATCACATAGATCACTGGAGTTGTAAAAGGTCTCAGGAGATCTCTGTAGCAAAAGTACCATACACACTTTTTCCAAAGTGTCCTCCAGTGACCAAATTGTGCAAAGATTCCCTCCTGAGTGGTTTCACTTCCTTGAAGTATGGGGATGCATTTAAAACTGAAGGCGAGATGCTCTACCTGTTGGCAGGGGTTGGGGGTGAGAGATTTTGAACACAACAGAACCGAGAGACACCAGTACTTACTTGGCAGGCATTATAAATCAACTGATGTTCCAACTTTTTGATCCCTAGAATCTGCTGAAACATTTCATAAAGCTGTTCCTTGCTCAGAATCAGCTCCGATACAGCACTTAAGGCCATTCTATTTGGCTGTTTGCAGAAGTCCTCTTCTCCCCTGTATATGGCATCATACTTGGCTAGCCAAGAACTTAATACTGTCTCTTTGCTTAATCCATCAATTTCCGGCAAACTTCGGACTCTCTTCTCTATGTTTTTCTTAAAAACATCTCTAAAGTCATTTGCAGAACATCCTCCACTGTGAACCATTCTTGCAACCCGGTCACTCTTGAGAAACACCTTTTGCAAAAAAGAGAAAAGAGACACAAAAAAATACAGACATTAGAAATAAACACAAGTGCAAAACAAAGGAAGGGATTATTATTACAAACTAATCTTTTGTTTCTACTTAAAATGGTTTTGCAGGTAGCAGATACACAAGCAAAGGTTGATATATTTTCATAAAAAAACTAAATCAACATGTTCAAAAAATATGTTTCTCTATTAAACTGGTTGGGTTTTAAGGTATGCTACAATCATTAAGCTAGAATGAAGTTTGAATTAGTGGCAGCTAGTTTAAAACTTACCTACATGATTACACTTATCTTTCCTCCAATAAAACCACAGAAGTCTGCAGATATATGCAAGGTATGCATGAAGAAGCCACACTGTCTCACAACTTGGCAGTATCATGAGTGAAAAAAACATCTTTTAGACAGTTAAGAATTTCATGGAAGGAAACAGAAATCCAGAAAAAAAAACAACCTCTTATGCTAGATAAATACTGCAATCAAAACCAACAGAAGAAGCACTCAGAAGTGCAGAATCTGGTTCCACTACTGCAGATATAATGCTGGGGACAGAGTATGGAATTTTCTGTGTTAAAAAAAAAAAAAAAAAGCAATAAAAAAAAGCAACAAAAACCTTCCTAAGTATGCATATATAAGATAGGACAGCAAATTTCACCAGCAAATCGACTAAATGAGTATCAGCAATGTGTGGGAGTTTTTCACTGTTGAAGGACAGCTGCACCCAACTCTTCTTCTTCTAACATGGACCTTGGCAAGCTCGGCCTCTCCAGCCAGTGCCTGGCCAAATGATTTATAGCAGCAAGTCTCACAAAACTGTTCTTCTATTAAATACAGCTAAGAAGAGGATGGCTGTCACCTGATCGTCAGTGTAAACAACCAACTTGTGCCTGGCACAAGACATAAACTGCGTTATGGCATTGCAGAGGAAAAAAGCAGGTAGCTTCCCACAGCAGAAGAAAATGGGTCGGGGCCCTGCTGTACTTGAGTGCGGGGGGACAGCTTGGGTGCCTCACTGAAGCACAGCTGAAACACAAAGAATAGACAGGACGGCGTGTGGTCTGAGCATATATTTCCTTCTCATCACCTTTCTGCCTGTTTGCTTTCTTCAGTCAGACACTGTGAAATGGAAGAAGAGATTGCCTTTCTGGAGGGCCATGAGGATGATCAGAGCACTAGAGCACCTCCCCTATGAAGAAGAGCTGAGGAAGTTGGGCTTGTTCAGCCCGTGCAAGAAAAGGCTTTGGGGAGACCTAACTGCAGCCTTCCATTATTTGAAAGGATCTTACAAACAGGAGGAATACTGACTGTTTATATGAGCAGATAATGATAAGACAAGGGGGAACAGCTTTAAACTAAAAGGGAGGAGATTGAGGTACAATGTTAGGTGGAAATTCCTTACTCAGAGGATGGTGAGCCACGAACATACAGGCTGACCAGTGAAGCTGTGGATGGCCCATCTTTGGAGATATTCCAAGGTCCAGGTTGGATGGGGCCTTCGACAACTTGATTTAGTGCTTGATTTCATGGGTGACAACTCTACCCACAGCGGGGGGTTGAAACGAGATGATCATTAAGGCCCCTTCCAGCCCAAGCCATTCCGTGATTCTATGATAACCATGCATTTTCAGGTAAAAATTTTATTAACCAGAAGCTACTAAAATGTAATGCAGATCACAGCACAGTAAAGCTTTGACTCTAAATTTCACATGATGGATGACAGCGCACCTAACAAACAACTTCATGTGCTCCTGTGCTTCGTTTTGAAAAGAAACCAGAAGAGCAGGGGAGCAGCTACAAAGCTAAGCCAAGTACAAGGGCTGGGTCAAGAAAAACATAGTTTAAAAGCCTCAGTGCTTTTTGATACATCTTTTCTCTGTAGATTTTGTAAAATGCAGCTACTTAAATGTAAATATTTCAACAGATACTCTAATTGATGTTGTACTGAAGGGTGGAGATCAAACCTAAAAGAACTTGGTCCTAAACCATAAAACAGCAACAAAATCTGCCAATCACATTTAGTGCTGCAGCATGCCAAATTTCCTTTCTCTGAAAATACGAGTATCTAAGGTTGAACTTTTATCCACAAAGGGAGTTGACATGGTTATTATCAATTAATGTCAATATTAATTTCCTCAAAATGCTATACAAACATTGAATTTCATTTCAAAACAAACAATAGTCTGAAATTCCACTTGACAGTAAAACTTATCAACACAAACTAGTACCAGGATATTAACCTTTTCCATATTTCAACAGCCTACAATTACAATAAATTAAAATTCTTCTAAAGCTTACCTGGAAAGAAAACAGACAAATATTTAAAGTAGATGACTTCAGACAAACTGAGCTATTTTATTTTCTTCATAAATAGTATCTTATCCTCTATCATGTTAGTTTGCATAGCTATTGAGAAAAAGCAGATGCAGAATAAAGAATAAAATTCAGAAAACTTACAGGCTTTTGCCCCTCCCCAGGAATGTTTATCCAAGGCTGCATAACCTTATGCATCACTACCATAACTGGACCACTCTAATTAAAAAAATGCTAAACACGCACTGTGAGATCATCACCTCTTACAGCCTTCTTTACGTATATTATATTATTTGAATAATATATTATTCAAAACAATTCAGAATGCAGTGGCTAAAAAGCCACTAGCACTTGATTTATGAACCAGATTTATTCAGATTAATTCATAAATTTTTAGTTTTGATTTGGAAGTTGTTTTTCTAAGAAACGGCAGGAAAAATCTGTTTTCTTTTTTTTTTTTTTTTTTTTTTTTCTCCAGTATTTACCCATAAAATGGTAACAGTATTGTAGCATTTGTTGTCTGCAACACCAACAAAATGTCAGGCAAAACAGATTTTTATACAGGTACGTGCAAATGCAAAATACAAACAATCATATAATAAGTAAGAAAAAAAGAGCTTCAAGATCAATAAAAAACAAAACACATCCTCCAAAAATATGAAGCAATTTGACCACAATTATCATTTGAAAGAATGTACATAATTCACCTTTTCAAGAGTCATCAATATTGATGCTACCAGTCAACTAGAAAATGCCTGCAATACAGCCTCTTTCAGTTGCTTAAATATACACGATAGAAGCAAGCATGCTAAAAAGGACACACGCTACCTTAAAATACTCACTTCTAAAGAGTTTTCTTTATGAACTGTATTTGCATTAATTAATCTGAAGTTATTCCAAGATACTACTTTAGCAAAATATCTGGTGTGATTACAAGAAACTGCTCAAAGTATAAACCTAAGGGGTGAACAATACCACTAATGGTATCTGGGCGGGTTCTTAAAAGGAACACACTTGACCTAAAGCTTAATTTTAAGTGGCAACTTAGCACAGTTTTTTTCCTGGGGATTGTGAAATGTGACAATCTTTAAAATGAACCATTTGTATTTGATATACTTAAAAAACAATATTTTAATAGATATTGCATCGTTAAGCCATTATTTGCAACAGAAAATCGTAAGTGAATGAAAATTCAGTTCGGACTGTACCATATGTGCTTCTAATTTGACACAAAAGGACACATTAAAAAATTACTAAATGACTGTTATTCCTGTTCCAGAAAGACATTGGGGATGCTTCACATTAACTGTAACATCTTTGGCTTCAGCTATATTTCTTGACATTTGTTTCCTCAGTTTTATAGTTTTTCTGAAATGCTTTGCACCTGCTTTTTTCTTCTTCTACATACAAGTTTACAAAGCATTCCTGTTTGGAGAATGTTTTCTTGCCAATGGCACTGTTTCCACCAGCACTACACAAATCTCATCTGGCTGAGCTATCATGGCTCCAGAACCTTGGCTGAGCATGCAAGTCAGGATACATGCATGCTTTACATCACTGGCAGTTCTCTCTTGACATCATTTGTTTTTGCAATGAAATACATAAGCTCTTACAGGATTATTTGCATAATCACCTCCAATAGGGAAAATATCTGTGTTGATACATATCTTTAAAGCAAAACAGTAATTAAGCACATTCACTGAATTGTCATCTGTTCTTCCTTTTAATCCTGTATTTGGATTGTCTGATCATGGAACTTATTTCCAATTAAATAATCATTCCAGTGCTAAAATGTTATCTCAAATGTTTGGAAAGAAAAAAAAACATTAAAGGTTTGAATGTGAAATGGAAAATAACAAATAGTTATTGTAAGAACAAAGAAAACTATTCTTACTGGGAAACGTATTTGACAGATCAGCCAGGAACTTCCCAAGCCCTCATATTATTTAGAAATAATTTGATAAGAGCCAAAGTTTCTAATGAAGCATTTCATATTTCATTTCACTCAGAATGTGGTGACACGCTGGAACAGGTTGCCCAAGGAGGCTGTGGATGCCCCATCCCTGGAGGCATTCAAGGCCAGGCTGGATGTGGCTCTGGGCAGCCTGGTCTGATGGTTGGTGACCCTGCACACAGCAGGGGGTTGAAACTGGATGATCATTGTGGTTCTTTTCAACCCACGCCATTCTATGAGTCTATGATTTCATGTTCTGTCACTGTATTCTGGATCTCCTCAGAGAAATTCTGGGGTGATACTCTCTGACAGTCCCAACTTGAACTTTTAGTATCATTACTGACTCTTTGAATATAAGTCACCATCAGCACTCTGTTACCCACAAACAACCAAACACCAAAAAGAAAGGCTCTCTTAACACAGAACATTTCAGGGGAGGGAAAAAAAAAAAAAAAAAAGTAAAAGCATGTTTTGATGGTTCATCTGTCTTGAGAAACTATTTCAATTCACAATATCTATATCTATCCATCTATACTCCTGGATGGAGCCATACATACATTCTTGACAGCTAATATCATATCATAGCCATTCAAAGACATCAAGGTAAGGAATTAAAAGTTGACACAAAACAAAAAAATGCCTCAAATTCATCTTTCCTTACAATTACAGTAACAATCTTTTAAATGTATCTACTGAAGTATGGTTTAAACTCCCTTCTTACCCAG